GTTATAGCATTTGGCTGTACAACTTTTTAAGTCAGAGGGAGGTAAACAGAGAGAGAGGGACAAAAACATCCACAAAACTATGCAAGTGTTGTTGAAAACTGGAGTGAGAGGGAGATTAAATATTTTATAAACCAAAGTGTTTAGACGTTATGATGCAGTTTATCACTTTGTGTCAGTTCAAGTGATCCAACCAAACCAGTTATAGCATGCATGTATACATATGTGTATGAGTTTTTTTATAGTATTGAATAAGGGCTGTGAATACATTTGTGTTAAAACATGGCAGCTGTAGGCACATTCCTGTGGTCTAGACGTCCAAACATACCATCACAATATCCCCAGTTCAGTTTGGTGCATGTCATCTCCCTTGGTCTTCCCCTCATGTACTGTCAAATGAGTGGTCAGATATATTCTGAAGAATGTACTCCCAATCAGTTCAATTCAAGGTGGTACACAGACGTCATCTGTCTAAAGAATCTCAAAGATGTGCCTCTCAGTTGATGATTCCTGTAATATATGTAGTTCACCTGCAACACTAGCTCATATGCTCTCCATTTTTAAGACCTTTCCAAAATACACAGAGGAACAATTGATCCAAATCCTCTTACAGCCATTTTTGGTTGTCAGTGTGAGGACAATCCTCTCCCTAAGGTACGGTCAAATTGCCTTGCTTACTGTTCATTTTCAAAATATTCTATAGAATTTTACTCTAAATGGCAGGCGGGTGTGCACATCCACACTGTGTCTATTACTGTTTATTTATTATGGGGGCACATAATTATCTTACCTTATTACCTGTACTTTTGTATATAGCCTATGTTTTCTTAAATGTGAAAACCAGTAAACAAAGTGGGAAAACTTATAGGAAAAAAATCTAAATGCATTGCATGATTTAACAGCTGTGTTTAGTATGATGTTCACCCAGTGGACAAACTAACATACACATCTTGACATACAGTACAGGCCAAAAGTTTGGACACACCTTCTCATTCAATGCGTCTTCTTTATTTTCATGACTATTTACATTGTAGATTCTCACTGAAGGCATCAAAACTATGAATGAACACATGTGGAGTTATGTACTTAACAAAAAAAGGTGAAATAACTGAAAACATGTTTTATATTCTAGTTTCTTCAAAATAGCCACCCTTTGCTCTGATTACTGCTTTGCACACTCTTGGCATTCTCTCCATGAGCTTCAAGAGGTAGTCACCTGAAATGGTTTTCCAACAGTCTTGAAGGAGTTCCCAGAGGTGTTTAGCACTTGTTGGCCCCTTTGCCTTCACTCTGCGGTCCAGCTCACCCCAAACCATCTCGATTGGGTTCAGGTCCGGTGACTGTGGAGGCCAGGTCATCTGCCGCAGCACTCCATCACTCTCCTTCTTGGTCAAATAGCCCTTACACAGCCTGGAGGTGTGTTTGGGGTCATTGTCCTGTTGAAAAATAAATGATCGTCCAACTAAACGCAAACCGGATGGGATGGCATGTCGCTGCAGGATGCTGTGGTAGCCATGCTGGTTCAGTGTGCCTTCAATTTTGAATAAATCCCCAACAGTGTCACCAGCAAAACACCCCCACACCATCACACCTCCTCCTCCATGCTTCACAGTGGGAACCAGGCATGTGGAATCCATCCGTTCACCTTTTCTGCGTCTCACAAAGACACGGCGGTTGGAACCAAAGATCTCAAATTTGGACTCATCAGACCAAAGCACAGATTTCCACTGGTCTAATGTCCATTCCTTGTGTTTCTTGGCCCAAACAAATCTCTTCTGCTTGTTGCCTCTCCTTAGCAGTGGTTTCCTAGCAGCTATTTGACCATGAAGGCCTGATTGGCGCAGTCTCCTCTTAACAGTTGTTCTAGAGATGGGTCTGCTGCTAGAACTCTGTGTGGCATTCATCTGGTCTCTGATCTGAGCTGCTGTTAACTTGCGATTTCTGAGGCTGGTGACTCGGATGAACTTATCCTCAGAAGCAGAGGTGACTCTTGGTCTTCCTTTCCTGGGTCGGTCCTCATGTGTGCCAGTTTCGTTGTAGCGCTTGATGGTTTTTGCGACTCCACTTGGGGACACATTTAAAGTTTTTGCAATTTTCCGGACTGACTGACCTTCATTTCTTAAAGTAATGATGGCCACTCGTTTTTCTTTAGTTAGCTGATTGGTTCTTGCCATAATATGAATTTTAACAGTTGTCCAATAGGGCTGTCGGCTGTGTATTAACCTGACTTCTGCACAACACAACTGATGGTCCCAACCCCATTGATAAAGCAAGAAATTCCACTAATTAACCCTGATAAGGCACACCTGTGAAGTGGAAACCATTTCAGGTGACTACCTCTTGAAGCTCATGGAGAGAATGCCAAGAGTGTGCAAAGCAGTAATCAGAGCAAAGGGTGGCTATTTTGAAGAAACTAGAATATAAAACATGTTTTCAGTTATTTCACCTTTTTTTGTTAAGTACATAACTCCACATGTGTTCATTCATAGTTTTGATGCCTTCAGTGAGAATCTACAATGTAAATAGTCATGAAAATAAAGAAAACGCATTGAATGAGAAGATGTGTCCAAACTTTTGGCCTGTACTGTACATAGCTACAACGATATCTAAAAATGTCCATATTGGCCTAATTGAATAAACATTTCTGACACAGTCTCACAGGTATTTTGACATCTCTAAGAATTATCAGTTGTGCAGTATGAATACATGTTTGTGTCACAGGTTGGGATACAGGCCTACAGGCCGTTATGCAGCCTCCTGTGCCGCCGGACACTTGTGTGCTGCGATCCTATAGTCCCGGCTGATTTAAGGTGGGAAGCTGAGGCTCCGGGCTGGTGTTTGGGGAGCAATAATGTCAGCTCGATTAAGCAGGGACAGTGTAGAGAGCCGCAGACAGATGGAAAGCTGACTCCTCAGAAACTGTGGGTGAAACCCGGGGCTCCAGAACAGCTCGAGGGGAGCCCTTAAATCGCGGTGTGGGGCGGGGAGGAGGCGCATTACGCGGGCCCCCGCTGTAGAGGATGAAATGTTTGATCTCCGGCAGCCGCGACGGGGTCAGCAGGGCACGAGGATGCCGTGACAGCTGTATGCTAATGAGCGCTCGCGCCAGAGTCCACGCGGCCGGGGGGCAGTCGGCAGGTGGCGTTGAGTGAAGGAACGGCACGAGCGAGCTGCTGTTGGCGGACAGTCTCTCATCTGGACTCGCGTGGGATGCGCGTGTGTTTCTTAACCTGTGTGATATTTTAGAGATGCTGTTTTCTCTCTGACAGCCATCTTGCATTATTTATTTATTTATTTATTGTCTTCAATCTGTTGTTACTGAGTTAGAGATGCTGTTGGATGTCAGTGTGGTTAAGATGAAGATATTTGGCAGGCTGGACTATACACTGGTGAGGAACATCACTTCTTTCTTACTTTAGATGAAATTTGACAAAGACAAAATCTTCTTTGTTATTTTAAGTTGACAAAAATGAATTTTCCATCTAGTGGTCTATTTCAGTGTGCGTGAGCAAGCTGTGATGCTTGAATGCATGTTTGTATCTTTGTGTGTACGTGCACATGCCCCTTTTGAATCTAGTGTGTGTGCGTGTGTTTGTGAGTGTGTCAAACCAGGTTGTTCCTTTGGATGAAACACCTCTGAGCTCTGAGTGCCTCTGCTGGCAGGGAGACAAGCTGTTTGTGTCACACCATGTATTTCTGAATGTTTCCCCATAAACCTGGGAAAATTACACAAGATTTTGGGTATAATACATACAGCAGTTATATTCTGGTCCACCACTGTCACATGTTGTCACTCTCTATGTGACTCTGAGCCACTCACATTCATCAATACAAAGCAGCGAAGATGATCAGTTTTCCTTTTGAGCAATATTGAATGAGAAAAAGTGCTTTTTTTATTTTTGTGTCATCTGGGATGATCAAAAAAAGAGGCTTTGATGTTTTTAACAAACTCAAAAGGGCACCGAAAGTACATGACGACAGCAGTGTGCAATTATACAGTCAGTGGGGTTTTCTAAAGAAGAACACACGGAATTATTCAATGATCTTTTCAAGAGAAGAGAGCACTGAGTCAGTGTGTGTGTTTGTGTGTGTGTGTGTGTGGGTGTGTGTGGGTGTGTGTGTGTGTGTATAGTCTGCCTATGTGCACAGTTTGCCATATGCCCAGTGTTACCTTGCCCCAAACCAAAGGCCTCCTTAACAACAGTGAAACCTAACCTCAGCCTCAGCTCTCATTTAAATCTGTGTCCTTGTGTTTTTCACCTCGCTGATCAGGTGGCATTTGGATTTCCAGAGAAATCCAACTCTGTGTAGACAAAACAGATTAGAAATTAGAGAATCTCTTAGCTGATGGGTACCAATTTGACATTTAAGTAGTAATGAACAAACGGTGTAGAGGGTAGACATTTATAGACAAGGTACATAACAAAGGAACTGTTCGACAGTAGCAGTGTGTCAACACAGCTACTGTATGTGGTGCTGATAAGGCACTATCTCTGTTTCCTCTTGTTATTATTAGGTGGACTTTTACACTTGTTGCTTAATACTGTCACCTGAACTAGTATTTATGCAGTGCCTTCAACCTTGTATTAGCTTCAGATGAACTTTAACATGCATTTTGACACAGAATGAGGATGGTGGATTTTGCCCCCCATCACTCATGTTGGAAACTTTTTAGGAGAGGAAACTCTTTGCAGCTAGTCTGGACAGGAAGGATGATCACAGCCATCACTAACTCTCTTCAATGTACATATGAGCATGTTAGAAATGCTTTAAGAAAAAAAAGTGAGCCATAATTAAACTGGCTTTCGTTTATAGAGTTGAAACGACGGTGTCCATTGTTGTTGATGATGACAGTAGTGGTGTTTTTGCAGAGCAGGATCAACTAAATCATGAAATCTTGGCCTTCTTAAGACACTGGTTTTCAGCAGTTCATTAATTAAATAATGCAGAATGGAGGAAGCCAGACTGACAATGATTTTGTGCCCGTGTGTTTCTGCCAACAGGACTTTTCATATGATGACCCCAAGCTGGAATTCAATGTGGATGCACCCAATGGTGTGGTCATGGAGGGCTACCTCTTCAAGAGGGCCAGCAACGCGTTCAAGACCTGGAACAGGTAAAAGAGAAGTGATAAGAGAGAGTCAACTTAAAATTTAAGAGACAATCTGATTAAAGTTAATGAGATAATCAATACTCATACAAAACTGTTAAAAGAGGGTAATGTAAAATGGCATGTATTGTAAGGAAAAGGTTGGCCTGTTGATTTAGAAAAAACAGCATTTGAATATTTTTCACCAAAGTCACAGGGCCCAAATGACAGGAACCTTAATTAATTTTTAAACTTTGTACTCCCTGATTTTTGTGTTGGATGACTTTCTACCTTAAAAAGTGGTTTGGACGAATGAAGAATGCCTAGGGCTGCCCCTGACAAAGAATTTTCCTAGTTGACTAGTAGTCATCATTTAGGGCCATTAGTTGACTAGTCGTACCCATGTTTACGATATCAATTAAGTTATTGAATTATATATTTTGGGAGGGGCAACACAATGGTTTGAGTTGAAGGTGTGAGAAAGAATAGTATCAGTAACATTGTTGACACTGCGCTACATTACAGAGAAAGACAAAACCTTACTAATGAACCTTCATTAATATAGGTCTATATTTTATCTACAAGTGCAAGTCACACACTGAGCGAGCCACCTGTTAATGACGCTGTCGGCAAAGCAGTAATGATTGTGCTAAGTGGCTAATGGGCATATAGCCACTAACATGTTTGAGATGATTCGTCATGTTTGTAGTTGACAAATGAAGATGAGTTTACGTATCACCTTCTTCACCTTCACCTTCTCAAGATGATCCCACACTTTCCTGCCCGGCATGTTATTAACTGTGATTTATTATGACAAAGCGCAGCTCCTAATAGAGTTTCACGTTTGTTTGGGGTTTTTTTCTGCGACTAAGTAACCAGTGAAATCTTGCCGACTAATGACCTTTCTGGTCGACTGATGTTTGGTCACCTATTAAGGCGCAGCTCTATATTAGCCTTTGCCTTAGAGTCAGACAATACTCAATATATTTATTGATCACTACAGTGTTCTTTCTTTGCAGGACCTATTCCAGCATGCTTACGTTTTAACAATCTTGTCTCTGTCTCACAGAAACTGTCTAACCTCGTACCCTCTCCCCTCCTCTAGGCGGTGGTTTTCTATACAGAACAGCCAGCTGGTCTACCAAAAGAAACTCAAGGTACGATTTGATTTCATACAAGTTTCATCACCGAAGCTTGTCTATGCAAAGCAGTGTCAGACAGTTTAAATGTATTGGTATAATTCTTAGTAATTTGCATATTAGCGGAGAAGAATTGGCACGTGCACTGACTCGTTTTTAATGCCAGTTATGATGAAGCCAAGCTTCTGTAGCTTGAAGCGTAAATCAGATAGAATTGCTGTGACATTCCTCTCTGCCGATGACAGGACTCTTTAACAGTTGTGGTGGAGGACCTGAGGCTGTGTTCTGTCAAACCGTGTGAAGATAATGAGAGGAGGTTCTGCTTCGAGGTGGTTTCACCCACTAAGTAAGTGTGTGTCCTGATGGAATAAAGTTTTATCCAAACTAAACCCCTCTAAAAAAGCTTTCCTGTTTTGTGGTCTTTTAGATTCTCACTGTGCTAATTAGTTGTTGAATTATTGACTAATGGCATTAGACAGTTGTGGGCAGGTATGATATAACTGACCTCTACAAACCTGTAGGAGCTGTATGCTGCAGGCCGAGTCTGAGAAGCTGCGGCAGGCTTGGATCCAGGCGGTCCAGGCAAGCATCGCCTCTGCTTACAAAGACATCGCCGACAATTATTACATTGAGGTATGCGCGCACACACGCATACACATACAGCGCATAATAGCACACAAGTGTTATTTTCTTTTTATTACTAATCGGCCCAGGGTCACCTCATAATCTCTGACCTGTCCACCTGTCTCTGCAGCGTTTGGACCGGACAGCCTCGCCCTCCACCAGCAGCATCGACTCTGCCAGCGAACCCAGAGAGAGGGGGGAGAGGGCCGATAAGGGAGTTCGGGGAGGTGGGGAAAGCCTCCTCCAGAGGGTACAGAGCCTGCCAGGGAACGAGCTGTGTTGTGACTGTGGCCAAGCGGCTCCCTGCTGGGCCTCCATTAACCTTGGGGTGCTGCTCTGCATCGAGTGCTCGGGGATCCACAGGTAAACTGCGCTTAACAGTAAGAGAGAGTTCATTTGGAAGCTTAAAGAATAACACAACAGCAGAACTGGTTGTCAGTTTAGATTGATCTGTAGCAAGAGTGTTGCAGCAAATAAGCCAGCTCAGCACATCCGCACTTGTCACGGTATGCCTTCGTGACATTTGTCCTGTTTTTGTACTTGTTTTTTTAATATAACTCACATGAGTAAAGCATCACATCTTATTCTCAGTGGCTCCTCTGGTATGCTGGTGTATGTCAAACACAGTTAGACCTATCATTACATCAAGTCATCAATCAAAGCTCTATTGTAAATAAACAAGATACAGCTGCTAGATGAATTTAAAACATGGGTGTGTGAGACTGATCAAACTAAAACCACTGTGGATGATTAAGTAATTAGAGAAAGGCTGTTTTTAGCTTCACTCTTGAGACTTTCAGAGTGTTCAAGTGTAGAGATATAGAAAAAGTTTGCCTCCTCAGGCAGTTGTGTTAAACGGGGCAAAAGTAAAAATGCAGATATAGACTCTCCTTACACTTCACTTTCTTTATAGACTCTCTTTTTCTTCTTGCTTCTTTCAGGAGTTTAGGCGTCCATTGCTCTAAAGTGCGCTCACTGACGTTAGACTCATGGGAGCCAGAATTACTCAAGGTGCGTCTCCCTGACACATTTGCCTACAGCTTCAGCTCTCTGTGCTGTGTTTTTATTTCCCACCAGAATTACATTTATTATTCCTCTAGTGCATTGCTTAAACAATTTTAACTACTCTTTTAAAAAAAGTTTCCCTGTCTGCCCCTGTCTTCCATCTCTGTTCTCGTTCTTTCTTCTCTCATGTTAGCTGATGTGTGAGTTGGGGAACACTGTGATCAATCATATTTATGAGGGAGCCTGCGAGGAGCAGGGAGCGAAAAAACCTGGACCGTCCAGTTCAAGGTAAGTCTTTTACTCCAGGAGGAGCATTTAGCAAGGGAATAAATCCTGTTAAACATTTAAGGGATGCTTTGCTGATTTTTAACTAGGTCTGTGTCTCAGCGATGTGGGAAATGTGTGCAGATAAACAGTGTAAAGGCAACCATTGTGCCAGCAGCACCGGGAATTCCTCATTTTCCAGCCAAAATCCACCGGTTGGCACGTTAGGTGGCATAGTTAAAGCACAATGACAAATCAAGCAACGAATTTCTGCTCATGGCACTGGCAGGGAGTTCCCACACTGCGGAGACACAAAGCTGGCTGAAAACTGACAGTGTACCTTTAAATGTTTGAAACTTTTGGCCACTCTGAAGTCAATTAGCTTTAAGTTTTATCTGTATAGTGTCCATACCTTACTCAATCCAAGCTACACCCAACTATGTGTATATGTCGTGTCTCCAATTATTTATAACTTGTCAGTTTGTGATCATATACTTCCAGACAGGAGAAAGAGGCTTGGATCAAGTCTAAGTATGTAGAGAAACGCTTCCTGAAGAAGATGAGTGGGAGTGAGGCTTTGGTGGAGGGGGAAAGGAAGTCCCGGCCCTGGACGGTGAAAAAGTGTCAGCGACACAACAGCTCTGTTCGGGCCCCCAACAAAGCCCGCAGGAAATACCATCGCTACGAGCCGGGCAGCGCTTCACCTGCAAACCTCTCAGCAGGTCAGTGCGGAGAATTAATTTCTCTGTAGCAGCACGATATAGCCCGAATAGCCCAGAGATATGTGTATGTAGAAAGTCTACTTAACACTCTAAGGGCCAGACTGAAATCTTGTGATGTTTTGTCTTTGGCAGCAGCCGCAGCAAAGTTTCGCCGGGACTCCCTGTTCTGTCCAGACGAGCTGGATTCACTGTTTTCATACTTCGATACTGGCTCTGGTCCCCGCAGTAAGTCCACTACACACTCAGTACAAACAGGCACGATACACTTGCAAGGTTATTGTAGATTTAAAGCAAGATGCGGGTAAGACTTTCTTGCTGTGACAAAAACATCTCACAAATTTCTGACATGTTTTCGATTAAGTGTGAAATCCTACCAGTGATGGTGATGTGTGTGTGTGAGTAATTAAAGTATGTGCTGTGTAATGATTAACGTGTCCATGGCTTGGAGATGCTTGGCCCGGCAGGTCTTAGCAGTGACAGCGGCCTGGGAGGAAGTACTGATGGCAGCACAGACATTCTAGTTTTTGGCTCAGTGGTGGACAGCGTCACAGAAGAAGGTATGTGTGGTGATGCAAGAATATCATCATTTTGCATCACCTGTTTTTGTGTTAAAGAATACTGATGTCAGCTACACAGTGGAATTGCAAAGTTCCCTTATCCTCCAATCACTGTGCATTGTAGGAGTGATGTGATTACATTTAGCTACATTTACTTGTGTTTGTATGTGTCATTTATTTTGTTTTTATTCAAAAACTTAAAAAAAAAAATTAGGTGCTGTCACACCTAAAAAAAAGTTGGCTCAAGGGAATATACCCCCAGATGATGATTTGTATGTCAATTACTCACGCTGTTACGTTGAAATTGTATGTAAGAATGTAATAATGTAAGAATCTTGAAATAAGGTTTAATGTTTGTTGTTATGAATTGTCAAGAATTAGCAATTTGTTTTTGATATTGTATAAAATTGGCCTTGTGTACTGACAGGAATCTTGTAAGGACAGGAGCTGTCTAAACAGTTAACATAAAGAACACTGGTATCATCCCCCAAATTAAACCATGCTACATTCCTGTTTACATCATTCCTCTTTCTTCCCATCATTGCTATCATCCTGTTACCTTTCACAACTTCAGAGGAGGAGTCAGAGGAGTCTTCCAGTGGTGAGGTGGAGATTGAACAGGAAGTACCCTCAGACCCCGAAGACCCGAGGGAACTCCACCCAGGGGCGCTCCTCCACCGATCCTCCCGTCTACACAACCTGCCACTGATGGCAGAAGCGCTGGCGCATGGTGCGGATGTACACGCTACAAGTGAGGAGGAGGAGGGAAAGACACCACTCATTCACGCTGTGATGGGGGTGAGAGACTGTTAAGCCTGTCAGATCATTTAGATTTAGCTGGAAGTGAGGGTGTAAACACATAAATGGGTTAGAGGGAAGTACTGAATCTTTTATATGACTTTATTGCCATTTTTATTTTTAATGGATATTTATCACGAGTGTCCAGGTTAAAGATTAAGAACATTTAATTTGCTGAGGAAGTCAGACAAGGATGTTATGTAAGCGTAAACACAGCCATAAACACCCAGTGCCGTTAACAATAAAAAAAAAGGGAGGAATCTCCTCCCTGAACATTATTTTCTGCTGCTACAGTATGTGTTGTATGACTCTCCCTCCTCTTGAGGAGGAGAAAACTAAATTGTTTAAATCCCAAACAAACCAAGAGGTACTAAAAAACTGGCTTCAAAAATATTAAAATATAAACAATAGGACTTCTCAGAGCAAATAAACCAATATAAAAAACGGTCTCTCTCTGTCTGTCTCTATGCCAGGGTTCTCTAATAGCATGTGAGTTCCTGCTACAGAACGGAGCCGATGTAAACCAGAGGGACATGAGAGGAAGAGGCCCGCTGCACCACGCCACCTACCTGGGACACACTGGGTAAGGAATGCCTGCAAAGTGGGAGGAAGTTGTTGTGAGATGTCTGCTTCCACTTCTGCCTTTTTGTGACTCCTGGTTCACAGTTCAGAATGTAATGAAAATGAAAATGCAGTGAAATCTCTCAAGTGTTTGAGGTAACATTCACCGTCTGAGCCAAATTTTTCACAGGTAATCCTATGTCTTCCTTGGTTTCATAAAGAAACATAGAATAAAACTTTAGCAATGAAAATCTACTCAACACAGCATTATTAAAAAAAAACACAAAAGTTCTTTGTGCAGCTTTCGCTGAATGACCTACTTACTTTCGTGTAGTCTTGGCTCGCTGACAGACTGACTCACACAGCACCATGAGCAATGATTTCAAAACATGTTTGAGACAGCTCAAATTACCCATGAAACCATATCTGCAACTGGAGATGAAAGCATGGAGTAGAAAGACAAACAAGTTATGAAAAAGATTGATTCATAATTGCATTAATTAATTAGTGATTTGCATTTCTAGGCATCTGTCCACACCCATCAGTTTGTCTGCTGTCCTGATTTTCTTGCTGTTGAATTCACACGTGTTCACGCTCCCATCAAACAATATTTGCATATGTCACCTCTCATCATCTGGCATAGTTTTCAGCATCTCTTTTAATAACCTACTCTCTCTGTGTCTGCATCTTGTTTTCTACAGTCAGGTGTGTCTGTTCCTGAAGAGAGGAGCATCGCAGACGGAGGTGGATGAACAGGGTCACGACCCCCTAAGCATCGCTGTTCAGGCTGCCAACGCTGACATCGTCACCCTGTGAGTGATCCTAATTCATCCTAAACCAAACAAACTTTTTAAGCCCTTAAGAGCAAGTTCCTCATAAACATTTTTACATTGGTAAACATTTACGATTACGAATAGAACAAGAATAGTCAAGTAACTCCTTGACTAAGCAAAAGTGATCCTTTCCTTCAACAAGTAACAAGCCGCCCTGTAACTCAACTAAATATTATGCAATCTGTTTAATTTAATGTAGTAAATTTGGGCCAAGTGTCTTTGTAGGATTAAACCCATGCACCGGCCATTGTTTACAGCTCAGTTACCGACTTTAGATGCAAGAATTGGTCCAAACAACATTTGAGCTGGTCTCTATAACCAGATATCTGCACATGAACAAAGATGAATCAGAAAAAAGCAAATAAAAAGCTAAATCATGTTCCAAGATTGCATCTCACCCAACGTGTTCCACTTCTGCTCTCTTCTCGGACCGTTTACCTGGAAGCAACCAAAACCTGTCCGAGCATGATTTGCCAATACTCGCACTACAGGTGAAAACCAGAACACTTGCAATTCGAAACACATGTCCCGTTGCCTACAGAGTCTACATACATGTGCACATATCTATTTATAGAGATTAGCAATAACACAGGAAAGCATCAGAGTGCTTTGAATGCACTAAAAATGATAAACAAAATAATCTTTGCTCAAAGACGACTTACTAATTTTACCTTTAACTTTACCTGCAGATGGTAAATTGTCTGAACTGTATCTCTCATTGTTGTCTTTACTCTCTCTTTCCCTTTCTTCCTCCCTCCGCTCCTCCCCCTCTGTCCACTCTGGTTCATCTCCCTTGCCGCTCCTTACCACCTCACATTTCTGTCGTCAACATCTCAATTTTTTTTACATTCTATTCTTTTCTCACCTACCTTTCATCCTCTTATTATCCCATTTCTAATTTCTACATCCATGTGTGTCCCCTCTTCCTCTATCCCTCGTCTCCCTCTGCTCCTGTCCTTTTCTACTCTCCTCCAGATTGCGTCTAGCGCGGATGAACGAGGAGATGCGAGAGGCAGAGGCTCCCTTGGGTCAACCAGGTCAATACCCCAGCAGCAGCCCCACTGACCAGCAGTATAGGAAGTGCATCCAGGAATTCATCTGCCTCACCATAGACGAGTGCTAGTGGTCACTTCTGTATCCAGGAGCAAAGCTCGTGCTCTCTCTCTCTCTATATATATATATAAACTATATATACTGTATATTCCTCCTGAATGGGAACCTAAAATAATTGTGTGGACGAAGTTGCCCCTAGACACTGATCTCGAGTCGGTTACTTAAAGAGATCTAGGTTTACGAGCAACTTCTTGGGGGTGTCTGAGGAGAGAGGAGCGTACCACTTGCGCAATATCGGGGTGCGTTGTGTCATAGGGAGACCCCTGATGGACCTTTTTAACTCTACTGACAATACAGTCACCACCTCCATTTTTCTGCATCACCACTATGTTTCTGCTCGCTGTTCCGCGGCACCACCCACGCTATGCTAGCTACATGTCACACACAGTAAATGACATCTGCTTTTTGGTGTTTCGCTAACAGGGTTATCCCCTAACTTATCATAACATGGTATAACCTCTTGAGTGAGGGTGTGGGTTTACTGTTGCCTAACAGCTCTTACCTCTGAAGACTCTCGCTGCATTAACCCCCCTACACTTTATATCTATCCAGACCATCTGTGTGACATCCAACTTACCCATCTCTTCTTTATCGGAGATGTAAATATGCGTATTTAGAAGTTATATGGGTAATCTTTAAACTATGTGCTGTGGCATGAGGTGAATAAAAAGGTATTTGTTCCATTACTTAAAGAAAAAGAGTAACTGACAAGCTACAGTAGAGGTGGGCAGGGTAGTTTACTGTGTATACAGAGGGGTCAGGAAGGGAAATTTAATGTAAAACTGTGACAAAAATACTGAAGGGCTTGTGGAGAAGAGACCCTTGCCTGCTTTGTAAGATACTTTGTGACATGATGAGTGAGTGAGTGAGTGAGTGAGTGAGTGAGTGGACAGGAGAGTAAATGAATGCATGTGTCTAAGAATACTGAGAGACAGAGTTAAATAATATGATATTATGATACATTATGTAAAAGAAAAAAAAGAAACTGTGCACTTTTCCCATCTACAGTATTATAATTTTTTACATTTTTCATTCAGTTAGTTTTTACATTACATCCTTGTCTCGTCACATTATTGTCTATCTATCTATTGTCTGATTAATCTCTGTCATTTTTATTGATGTTTATCTCCCCAGAGGACTAGTGCAATGCATTCTTGGTTGCAGTTTATGTCTGCATTCCCGTTGATGATTGTCATTTTAATCTGAAAGCATTACTTGGAATTTACTTTGGAATTTTTGTGAGGTTGAGAGGGAGATGTGTCGACAAACCAGAGCAGCAAGAAGTGAGGGGGTGTATAAAACTGGATTTACGTCTCACACTTAAAGGGACAGTCCACCCCAAAATCAAAAATACATATTTTTCCTCTTACCTGTAGTGCTGTTTCATCTAGATTGTTTTGGTGTAAGTTGCTGAGTGTTTGAGATATCAGCTGTAGAGATGTCTGCCTTCTCTTGAATATAATAGAACTACATGGCACTCAGCTTGTGGTGCTTAAAAGAGTAAAAAATATATATCTAAAAAACTCAACAGCAATGTCTCTTTCCAGAAATCCTTACTGGTTTACTCAAGATGATCCACAGACCTTGTTGTGTGTAGTTTCATACAGGAACTATTTTCTTTCTACTGAACTACATCCACATTTGTATTACCGCCCAGAAGAAAGCATGCATCTACTGCTAGCTCACCTGAGCTAGCTAATGCTACAGCTCGGCCGAGGAGAATGTCATTAATGTTTACATCTTGACCCTTGAGCAAGAGCCTCTCATCCATGTGTAGGTGCACACTTCCTTCTGCACTGTGATACGGTTGACGGATGTAGTTTGGTAGAGAGAAAATATTTCCAACATGAAACTGCTCGCAACAAGGTCTGTGGATTATCTTCAGTAATCAGGCCATGTTTTCTGGAAAGAGACATTGCTGTTGAGTTTTTCCTTTTTTTGTATTTTTTCATTTTTATTTATTTATTTATTATTTTTTTGCACTTTGAGCACCACAAGCTGAGTGCAATCTAGTTCCATTATCTTTGAGAGAAGGCAGACATCTCTACCCTGCAACTCACACCAAAACAATCTAGACTGATAAATAGCACTACATATGTACTGTATATTTGATTTTGGAGGGGAACTACACCTTTAAAAAACTCCTCTGTTCACTTCCTTCTACAGAACAAAGGTGACACATGACACCTCCACTTGTTGTAAATACTCATCCATATCACATATCTGTGGTGAGATAAAGGCGCACATTTCTTTATGACAGTTTACACACTTGTGGGGTCAAAGGACTTGTATATCTGGCTTCCGTTGCTGGTCAATGCTTGCAGTCATCTCTGCATGCTTTGCCAGAATTTATTTTTGGGAAGTTCAACATCGTTTGCATTCTGAGCATGATAAAATATTTTCCAATGGTTTGATCACGTCGTGCAGTGCAGTCCTGTGGAATAAGCATGTACCACCATGACCCTCTGGTGTCAGAAATTTCTTACTTTGTTGCACCTCTGTGCCATTCTTCAATCCACAGACCAAATCTGTGGTGACTTCCTCATTCCTGTCTTTTTTGTTTGTTTGTTTCCACAAAAGCTTACAAAAGGTGGTTTTAATTATTTTTTTTAATGTCGTGGTTTATTTTCCTCTGCCAAAGACTTTTTAAAGGGAAGTTGTCTGACATTGTTGTATGATATCACGTTGTTTTTGTTTGTTTTTTAAACTGAAACTGTTCAGAGTAGATACGGCATAGTCTTACCATGCTTTGTGAAGTGACAGAGTGGTAGAAACACTGTTGGTGTACTCACATGTTGAAAAGAGGTTACAGAAATGTGACAGAGCCGAGAGATTTTGATATGGCAGGTGATATTCTGCAATAGTTCAATGTACTGCAAGTAGAACCAGTCTAGGGGGTGATGTGAAGCTACTGTGACCAAATTGTTAAGGGCCCTCGCTCTATAGCGGAAGTATTAAATGTTGTGTCCATTGTGTGTATTGACATAGGAGTGGTTAAAGGTGCTGTTCGAAGCAAACATGCTGTAAATAGTACACTTGTGTATTTTAACTCGACGTCAACTTCCTGTCTCTCAGCATTCAATTGCGGATCCTGACTGTCTGATCTGGTTTATGTTTGTCTTTTTATTCTCTTCCAACAAAAAAAAACAAAACAACCTGTCAGGCAGAACTGTACCACAGCTCTGCGCTACTTGGAGGCATTCTTCTGTTCACTGACATTTGGATATCTTTGGAATACTTTCTTCCTTGTCTTTAGAAGCACTGAGGGGAAAAAAAGAAAACAAAATACATACAATAAAACTGAGAAACTCTTGATGAACTAACCCTGCTTCCTGCTTGTTGCCCTCATTTCTGTTTCCTGTCTCATCTCTTATGCATAGCACTCTCCTAACATTGCAGCAATGTATTTGAAAACGTCTGCGTAACATTGTTGCTTTCAAAGATCTAATGATAATATTTTAATTTGAAGACATATTTTTATGTGGAAACATTGTCAGATGTTGGGAGAGTGCTATTTTTTACGATCTGGTCTGGTGTGTCTTTTGGTCTATAACAAACTTTTGGGTAGCACTTGGCTTATTCAATGCAATACTATAGTTTCCTTCAGGATAACAAATTCAAAGGAGGTGCACACTTGTACATCTTCAGCCTGCCAGGTCAATGTCAACACGCTATTTAAGGATCACCTTTGTGTTTAGGGCCTTATGTGTTTCAAACAGTGTCTCAGTTTTCTTGCCTGCAGCAGCAACACCATGCCTTGAATAATTCAGTGTCTCCACCATTTAAAACATTCATGTGATCTCACAAATTACAAAATGTTCTCACATGCCACAAATGTCTAATTCTTTCATTCACACTTCAGGCAAACAGCACATGTCCACATGAAGAAATAAACACTGACTGACATATCATTGCTTCTGTTACCACAGGGGTTACCACGGGCAGCAGGAGAGTTAAACCCAAGGATGTTCGGGATAGAGTGAGTGAAGCATCCTGGGCCATCTCATAAGGGACTAGTGTGATAACTGTGATTCTCTCTGCTCTGGTGGCTGTGGGTTTCTGTTGCACGCACACTCTCTGGGGAAATATTTGGAGCTGTCTTGATGTTGGGGATCTTTTTTTGTCTCCTGGGGAGCCATTCAGAAATCTTCTGCAGAGGAGTATTGTGTCTTGAGACCCGGCTATAATGCAGCATTCACGTACATTTGGAAATATGTACACTGTAAAATATTTCACTGTACATTTACAGTAAATTACCATACTGCCTACTAGTTGCATTACTTTCATGGTAAATTGCTGTCATTTTTACAGTAAATTGTCATGAAATGACAGCTGTATATTGTGATCTCACAGTAATTATGCCTGGATATTACTGTGATTTAGCAGTATGCTCCTGTAAAATCATTATATTTAACTGTAACCTCACAGTTAAAGCCCATTATGTTACTGTAATTTAACAGTACATTGCTGTAAAATTACTTTAACTTCACAGTTTATGTACATTTGATTACTGTGATTTAGCAGTATGCTCCTGTAAAATCGTTATATTTAACTGTAATCTCACAGTTAAACTAAATATATTATTGTGATTTAGCATTATGCTTCTGTAAAATTACTATATTTACCTGGATGGATTTCGCAATATTCTGAATTTGGTTTAATATCACAGTAAAAGCCTGTGAGGTGATAATAATGTAATTTATTGTGAAATATTACAGTCACATATTGTAACTTCCTGAAAATAATTTGCAGAATTTAGTTTATTCTCCCACAACATTCAAACATTGAATGTATAGTAGGTCACAGAGAGTGGGTAAGTATTGTATAGTATAAGTATATTAAGCACATGAACCCAGATGTCACTTGGTAGTGACTTCAGAGAGAGGAAAAATGGACAGGATGCTCACCACGCTTTCCCTGTAAGTTCCTGATTTTCTACTAACCAAGACACATGGTTAGAAGGGTAATCTTTTAAAAATGTGCAGAAAATACAGCTTGAGTGTCTACAAAGCATTTACTCATATAAACAAAATATGCTGTACAGAAGAATGAGTCACTCATAGTACCTAAAGGAATAGGTGTTAATGTACCACTGAGGTAGACTGGTGAACTTCACTCCATGCTTTGGGGGCTTTGCTCTTTCATGTGGAGATTCTTCTGCTCTTTCTTAATCAATGGTGAAAATGTGGGTTATTGGAGATTGCAGTATTTGCTGACGTATTGCCTTTATGTCATGTCATTAAAAATGCCTTGTATGTTACTCACTATATGTTAAAGGTAAGCAAAAACCAGCAGATTGGTCACTGCAGTCTCCATGGGGCCACACAGTGGGACAAACCCTCTCCTTAACTTTAGTATCCCCTGTTGCAGGTGACATCTCCAGTGTTGATGTCTTTCGCGAATTTTCTATCCTCGCGTCTCTCCAGCCCGAGAAGTTGAGGAGGAGGAGCGTACAGTTCAGCCGCTGCAAGAAGCCACAGTGACAACTGATCACCCGCTCTGATCACTCTTTCAAGTCAAGAGGGAGGCAGCTACATGGCATTCAAAAAGACATTTTGATTTTGAGGAGTGAGTGCTGCAGGTGTGAGCAAATGGTCAAAACTTGTAGGCTCTAGTCAAAGCTATTTTATATCAGGTCCTCAATTGTAAATATGTTTGTCAAGGTCAAGATGTTAGACCTTGGTCATATCAAAATGTAGTTTAAACAGTTCCTTTGCACATGATCCTACATTTGCTATAATGCAATACTACATTTGTTAGATCATCCCTGCCTGTTAAGGTAGCCTAAATGTTGCGTGATATCAGACATAATTGTCAACTTGTTAAACTGTTTCCATATTCATTAGTCAACCCAACTCAGTGGAGTGGCTGAATTCAAAAGTCTGGACCCAGGAAATGGCAAATGTGTTTAAAACTTTAGAACAAAACCAAGTGCCTCCTTAGTGTTTTGTATAATTTTATTTTGTCAACTGCAACTGTTTGATGAAATGTCTTTTAAACTGTGTTGAAACCGGTGGCAGAAATAAAATAAAAAGTGAAATAAAATAAAATGTTTTTGTGCATTTCAATCTGTTTTCATTAAAAAACAAAACTTTGGCTATAGCAAAAAGCTTAGTGATAATCTTACTGATTAATATAATACACTACAAATGTAAGTATGGGCATTACGATGATAACTAGTTGTGTTCTAGGGTAACCGTATTTATTAAATATTACTGTACTTTCTGAAAGATTATATTTGCGCATAATATTCCAGGTCAGCTGGTGATAGTAACGCGCTCTCTGTGTCATTTTTCCAACCGCTGTAACACAAATGAAGAAGGAAACAGGAAGCGTCATTTCCTCCTGCTGGCGAAAGCTAAAGCTACGTTGGTGTCATCGTCTTATCGGTT